CATATTTCTAGGAAAACTCTGTTTGGATGCCCAAAAGTGGGTTTTGGTAGAAAAAATTTGTAGGTGAAAATCATAATCCTTCACTTGACAAACCCCTTACAACATCATTGAATTTATGTGATGCAAGAAAAGGCTAGTGTAAGGAGCTACGGCCTCCGATATAACAGTATGTTCTAGCCCAATATATCGACTCATGTATGGACAGCATGAAGGATGCTGTCTGCATTGCACCCCGGGAAGACATTCTGCTTTCTGTAATATATTGGTCTATTATTGATCAATATGGTGACTTGATTTAAATAAAAACTTTGTAAATTTATGGATTATATGCATGGTTAACAGATAAAAAGGAAAAAAGACATGTATATAGATTCTCCTTACTTGGTCTGTTTTTTGCCTTTCTTTCTTAGATCAGTCCTTTTAAATTACGTAATCTTATAATAAGTAAGAATTGTCGGAGGGAATAAAGTAAAACATTGTATAGAGGTTTCAAATCTAAGTTATTTTATATCTATAATAACATAATATTAGATCTAAAATAAGTTAAAAATGATATAAATAATATAATATAAGAACAAGAAAATAAAATTAAAAATGATATTTAGTACAAATAAACGAACACAATAATTAATCATAAACGTCTGGAATTCTACATGAATAGTAAACTCTTTACATATAAATTAGTTCGTGACAAATAAAGTGGTAGAAACTATTAAAGTTTATATTTGGAAGCGTAACATTCTAATATTTAATAATAAAAGGAGCTCCAATGGCTGCCAGATACCTGAACGGTAATGTATCTGGGGAAAAACTTGTTCTAAAATCCTGCGCAGTTAACATTCGATTTGCATGTCCTAACTTTTATCGAAAATTTTCGACGAGGTAGCGCGATGTAAAATCCTGCAACCGACCGAGGTTATAGAAGCTAAATGGTTAGCATGGTTTCTCTTTTCTTATCATCTATGGACGGACGTGTATTCTAACCGCTGAGTGTAGTAGCCATTTTTATTTGCAAATAATTTAAACTGCAAATTATTTAATTCCACGGGTGATCGTCGTCTGTCTTAACATCGGTTATAAGCGAAATTTAATATCGTTGGAATCTCCTGCCCCTACATTAGAGATTAATTCTGATATGGATAGTATTACAAATATATTAAAATCTGAGGAATTCGTATCGAAACTTGTTACAGCTGTGATATCTCAAGATTCATTAATTAGCTCAATTGTTCAAAATGTACTCAGTAGTAATCCTTTCCAACAGATGATAAATGAAATCATTAAACAAACGATAGCTCCCCTGGAGACACGTATGCTGCAGCTAGAAGAGATGGTTCATCTTAACTATAAAACAAATGATTTAGAACAATATCAATGAAGATGGGCATTTCGTATTTATGGAATAGCTGAAAACAAAGAGGAAGATACAAATGCTATGATTAAAAATATAGGTAAAGTAATGGGTGTGAAAGTTAAAGACAATGATATTTATGATTCATATCAGATTCGCTATCAAATTCGTAATCAGCGCCCTTCATTATATGTAAATTTTATTGCCAGGTTTGAACAAAATCGGAGCGCCTCACTTGAGAATGTCCTCTCGCCAGTAGAATGGACAATTCTGAAATGCCATACGCACATGGGACGTTTGCTGATCAGAAATGGTTTTCGTTTTCTCACAAATGTTTGTCTATCATCCATAGAACCACTTTTGAACAAAAAACTGTTATAAAGCTAATTATTTTGACGACAAATCGCTGAGCAGGAATCGGATTGAATTTTTTAACTAAAAAACGGTTTCATTGGCTTATTCCGAATATAACCTTAGTTTTTTATTATACAATTACCACGCATCATTCAGATAAATATTGTATTTCTGTGTCTGCGAGTTAAAGATCACTTTTTCGACAAAGAACTGACAAGTCGGCAGTAAAAGAACCTCTTCTTCATCCGGAATGAACGAAAAAGACGATATGTCTATACTACTAGGAGTTAACTGATCATGAAAATGTATAATGAACAATGTATTCCCAAACAATTCAGCTACTTCTCGCTGTTTGGATGTCGATGAAAACCCAATCCAACATTTCCACTCGCCGACAGCATTTTGATAACTGCTTATTTGTTCTGCATCCAAGTTCATACCACGGTAAACAATTAATTTAGGATGACGGAAAAAACTAAGCCATCCTTTATACTGTAATAAATAGCAAAGTGGTCCTAATGTTTCTTGCTTACTTTTATCGTCTTCTCTCATCGTGTGGTTCACCAGTTTATAAAGAAAGCACTCACGTGTATATAGTGACAGACAGCATTTGACAATTGTATCATTATCTTTATTTTTCACCCCTCTTAACTTGGCTGCTAACCATTTAGCTTCGCATAACCGACCGAGGGCTTTGCCTTCAATCATTATACCTTCACTCGCTTTTTCCACAATATCAGAAGTATTAGGGTCACATCGTGAGCCATAACATTTGTTTCTCCATTCCCAACCAAATCCGGGGACATATTTATCGCTAAATGATGTTAGCTGTTGTGGTAAAAAAAATCGTTCCTGTCGAAGAGAACCTTCTCTTTTTGCGTTTGCAATACGTTTAACAGACAGTTGTTTCTGTTTATCTTGTTTATTCATTTGTACTTTGTTCTGTAAGTCAATCGCGCATGAATTCAATTCTACATGCTTCTGGTTTGCATGAAATGCATCTTCAATTATTTCTGTTTCAATATCAGAATATGCTGACCATTCAACTGTTCCATTGGTTGTCAATGGGTTCGGGTTTGATTGGTAATACCATAATGCTCGAGTCATTACTGTTTCTAGAATATCACTAGATAAGTTAGGATATGCAAATCGGATGTTAACTGCGCAGGATTTTAGTACAAGTTTTTCCCCAGATACATTACCGTTCAGTTATCTAGCAGCCATTGGGAGCTCCTTTTATTATTAAATATTAGAATGTTACGCTTCCAAATATAAACTTTAATAGTTTCTACCACTTTATTTGTCACGAACTAATAATCCGAATAATCACACTTAAAAATATATCTATTTATATATAAAATTTACATGTAGTTAAACATACGCGAAACAGATGGAAAAGAGTAATGACGTCAGTACCTACTGAAAAAAATTTACGAATTCTTGCATTGACATGCAGGAACCTGAAAAAATCCTGTGAATGTTGGATATATACTGCAGGATTTTACATCACGCTACATGGTCGAAAATTTTCTTGCAAGTTGGTAAGTATAATTGAGCAGGCTTCTTTAACACGCTCACTTTTCAAGTTTCCTTCCTGCAGGATCCTGGAGAATTCTTCTCTAGGCACACCATGCAGGAGCTTTTACAAGCGTTCATCGGATATATCTTGCAGATTCTTCACTTTGCATACTCTACGGAATTTTTTCCTACCTGTTATCACTTGTAATACATAAGGTATTTCACTACGCAAACCCTGCAAGGCCTGTAGGATCTTTTTGTGATGATAAAAAGTAATAGCCTGTGGATTTTGTCCCCTATGCCTATACTGCGGCATCTTGCAATCTTTTCTCACTAATATCTGTCCAGGATGACCGTGGAGGTACTTATCTGTATTATTTATTTTTGGGACGTTAAGTGAGGTGCCGCTAATTCAAAAATCAAGTGGAAAAGCTTTTGAATTTTCAAACACATATTCTGATTCGTCGAACGCTGCGGATCACGAGTCTGACCTTATTTTTTCGATTTTATCGAGTTTTCATGCAAAAAACCTCAAAATACTGTGACGGCGTTAAAAACCCAGAAAGACCGGTTTTTCAGAAAAATCCTGATTTCTCCTGATTTTTTCATTTTTCGATTTCACCAATACGATTTTCGGATTCAGCATCTCGAAGCACATCTAGGCACTTGTCATTCGATGACTTTTCTTCAAGACTTAAATTCTTGTAGCTGATCAAACACTGATCGCTCGAACCTTGAGATTCTCACTGCGCAATGCTATCTAGTTTTTTGCCATGAGAGCTAGAGAGTTCTTTTATACGCCAGAAGGTTCGCCTTGCCTTGCTCCACAAAAGTATGCTTCGTTTTGTTCAAAACGGTTTTCCTTTCAGGAAAAATTAGGAAAAGACTGAGAAAGTGCGAGTTTTTCGCAGAATCCTTCAGATGATTAGCTAATAACTCAGTGATATTTCCACTTAGAGCACTGCTATTGTGGTTTTTCAGGTAAAAAGCAATGCTGAATGAAATGCGTTTGAGGGGTTTGGAGTTTTCGGATAGGTTTGCAAAAAACCAGAACTCTGAGAAATCTTCAAGAGCCTTTTGGAAATCTTCTTCGTCCCAAACACATCGTATCGACAGAGCATCAAATTCTGAGCAAAATGAGATATCCTCAAGCCTTCTAGGGCATCTCTAGGCTGAGATAAGGCCATTTTACTTCCAGTGATCCGGCTCACTGAAAATCCTTTAAGAGATTTGCCAATAATTCAGCCTAGAAACTCGCTGGGAAGCCTGGAAAGGTCTCATTTTGCTCAGAACTCGATGCGCATTCTAATGCAAGTCCTCTTAAAGGGTTCTCGACTGAAAACGAGCTTTATTGAAAAACCGACTCTCTGAAAATCTCTCAGAACCCTTCGGAATGCCTCGCGCATTGTGTTCAGATGCAATGCGCGAGGCATTGTATCTGAATGCGCATTAAGTTCTGAGCAAAATGAGACCTTTCCGGGCTTTCCAGTGAGTTTCTAGGCTGAATTATTGGCAAATCTTTTAAAGGATTTCCAGTGAGCCGGATCACTGAAAGTAAAACGGTCTTATCTCAGCCTAGAGATTTTATTGAGTTATCTAGATATATTGGACATGGTATCTAGGGCATCCCGATATCGTCTAAATATATGGGATGCAAGAAAAGGCTAGTGTATGGAGCTAACAGAGAAAAAGGAAAAACGTCGTCTTGACATATATAAACTGTCCTTATCTGGTCTGTTTTTTGCCTTTCTTTCTTAGATCAGTCCTTTTAAATTACGTAGTAAGAATTGTCTAGGCAGGGGATAAGTGAAAAAGAAAAGAAAAATAGGTTGTAAATATAGTATGTTAAAGTTGCTTGTCAGAACCGATTTTCATTATCGTCTGTATATATTATATAAAAGTAATAAAGGGAAAAATATCCTTATGTTAAAGTTTTCTGTTCAAATTATTTTGTTTATGTAATATTAATCAATTTAATTAATGTTCGTCTCCACTGAGGAAGATTGAACTATCAATCGAAACATTTGGAATAAAGTACGAAGAAAAAGTACTTACTTAAAATATAAAAAGAAATGAATCTCCAAAATATGCAAGTGGCAACTTTTGAAAACAGCTATGTCACTCAAAGTTTAATCTCATACAGATTATCATTTCTCTTGTTTTTCGAGAAAAAACTATTTATTATTCTTCAAAGTCAGTAAACATATGTGTCCGAATGGAATCCCAGTTAAGAATGAGAGTTTACAAATTACATCATCGAATAGCGCCAGCACTTTCTGTATTCTACCTACTGACATCATTCCTCTCGGATCTCTGGTTTCACATGTCCCTGAGGAAATAATCTTTGACCAGTTCATTATGAATCTAGTGCGAGCTGGAAGACTGGCAAAAATTTGTCCCGACATTTTTCCAGCTTATATACAAGGCCACACGCTCTCATTTTAACTTATTATTGTTATTATACTTTCATACTTTCACTCTTTCAGTCCATGAAGTCTTTTACTGCTTTCACTTTCGTATAGAATTGAAGAAGAAGAAGAATTCTTCACCTTACAGCTACCGCTACCGGTTTAAGGTGCTGCTGAATGACAGTTTCATTAGCCCGGTATCTTCCTTGCAGTTGACCAGCTTCTGAAATGGTCATCCATCTCTTTACTAGTCATAAGACTGCAGCTATTATCAGAAGATTAGCTGATAACCGTCAATCCGAATAATTCAAACATAGTTGAATTGAAATAAAGAAATAATTATAGTTACATGGTTTCACCAGGTGTATCCGTTTCACAGCAGGTCGAGAAGAACGTCGTAAATTAGATTCATCTTGGTATATTGAAAACCGATTTTAGGGTTTAATCTTTCATATATGTAAAGAGTTTACTATTCATGTAGAATTCCAGACGTTTATGATTAATTATTATGTTCGTTTATTTGTACTAAATATCATTTTTAATTTTATTTTCTTGTTCTTATATTATATTATTTATATCATTTTTAACTTATTTTAGATCTAATATTATATTATTACAGATATAAAATAACTTAGATTTGAAACCTTTATACAATGTTTTATAATTTCTCCTATTTTTATTTTCAATTTTATAGATGGGATTAGACAGGGATCCCAAGGACCTTTTGGCGCAAAAAGAGATGCGGTATAATAAAAAGATTGAGAGAAAAGCCAGCACTACATTTGAAATTTGCAAAAAGAATCAAGTATGAATAGCCGATTGTAGAGTAAACCGCATTTTAATAATTGCATATGTCGAATCAGAATTAAGAAATACAGCAAAGTTGAGACCTAGTTTACCTGAGCAAGAAATATTTCCGAAAAGAAAGTTCCACAGCTTATTGAAAATCAGATAGTTCAACATTATGACAACTAAGAACAGCGGGTCGAAATTTCTGTGTACTTTCTCTGACTCTGTGTTAATATTAACTATTTCTTAAAAATACGGTCAAAAAACAGCCAGCAAACCGTCTTTAAACGGGCATGAGTCTCAAGAAAATTCGATTCACAGTTTATCGACAGTTTTTAGATAGCTTTCACACAGTTGGAGAACCACCTATTTCAGGTGGTAAAACTATACCATCCAAACACCACCTAAAAACCGTCTGATCAGCCTAAAAACAGGCGGTAAACTGTCTATTAACTCTTTCGTGCCGGGTGAATTTTTTCTCAATTTTTTCTCCCCGTATATATACGGGCCCCGGCACGAAACGGTTAATTGGTAGTTAACTGGAAGTTAATAGATTAGATTATACCTGATGCTGTTGTAAGTTACATTACTTTAAATCCAACCTTATACTTGTTTGAACTGGTATTCATTTTGTTTTCTGGAAAAATATTGAGGTTTGTACAACGATGCAAAACGATCGTTTCCTGAAATGCTTCTACTTTCTGCCTTTCAACTCTCGAACAAAGATATAAAACATGTTTATGTAATGATTGAATAGTATCAAATGGCAATTTAAAAATCCGAACGTTATTTTTAACATTGTTTCTAAACCCAGAAAGGTATAGTAGCATATTTGAGAAACTATTTGAGGTTTTTCTATCGTTACTAAACTGTTGTGGTTTTTAAAATACTTTTTGGAAAAGTATTTGAAAAAAATAAAGGTTTTTACCAGTGTCACAAAATCCTCCAGGTATTCTATTTTCGTTACTAAATCCAAAGGGTTGATATATAAACTGTTTAAGAGTTTTAATGAACCAAAATGATTTTGTGAGAAGAGCAGACAGATTTTAGACGGTTTAGTAAAATGATTTCTATGACTCAATTGTGATTTCTTTCTTGACTGAATGATTCTTTCTTGACTCAATGAATACTAAAAAAACCAAAAGGATATTCCGCTATTGCTGCCTTATCCCAAAGGTTTTTTAGTTCAACTCCTAAACCATTTTGGTGACGAACTAAATAATGTTTACTAAACCTAAGGGATTTTTGGCACTTATAAAATTCGTCTACTTTTCTACCACTGAAGAAAAATCTTTTTCCTCTTCTCACTTTACCACACATAAAATTTTTGACTTTCTTTGAAATTTTTAGGCTTTTTTTATTACATTCTTATGTTTGTAAAAATCAAAAGTC